AGCCCCTGAGGCAAGTCAGGAGAAAAATGGTAGTAGATCAGACTTATTCTCCAAGACAGAATAAAGTATACTTGAAAGGGTGACCCAGTCTGGTTCAAAGGAATTTTTTTCTTCTCAGATTTTACTATTGTTAACTCCTTATAAACAGAGATGAAAATGTCTCTAAGGACAGTAACCACTTGAGTAACACCAATACTTGGGAAAAGGTTATCTAGATACAGGTTTTACATAAATCACTTGGGACCAACTTTACTAGCAATTGCTCTATTTTATATGTAATTTATGCCTGACCTTGTTAACACTTACAGCACACTGCATCTGTAAGACCCAAACAAAAACAAAGGCAAAGCTTTCCTTATTTTTGCCCAATTTCCTGAAAAGAGGGACAAAAATAAATGATTACTAATTGCTTTGCAATTTTTTGAGTGGTTTAAAATTTTTAAATGTTTTCATTTACCTGACATTAAAAGTGGGCTTTTCGAATTTCTGCTAAATCACTGACAACCAATGAATTCAATGTTTTCCTCACCAAAGCAACACTGTTCCTTTTAGCTGAACACTGCGGTTTACTTCTTTTGAGGGTTAGCAACTCTGAAATAAGGAAGAATCCAAATACATCAGGGTATAATAATGATAGAATTATTGCCAGTAGGATGAAGTTTCTCACTATTAAATAAGATATGTGAAAGACATTTGCTTACACTATTTGGGGTTTCCTGCTAATGTTGAAAAAACGTTCAAACACTCTGGTCTGAATGTTTAAACTTCAGGGACTTATATGAAGCACTGCCTTCAAAAAAAGTGAGGAACAAAGTAATGTTATGAAATTAATAGTTTGTGGACTACGGACTATGAAAACCCTAGAATGAGAATCACCGGAGGGGTTATATGTTAGTGTAGAATCACTAACAAAAGCTGAACAAATAAATATTTTTTGAATATTCATGATGTGCAAAGGACATGGGTTTGAAAGACGAGAAATTTTCTGAGGTTACATCCTATGTCTCTCATAATCCTGGAATAATGTTAAGCACATGGTAATGTGTAATTTTTTAAATGAGCAAATAATTAAAATAAGCATTGAGTAATATTGTATGATTCCACTTACAGGCATAGGCAAATTCATAAAGAAGGTAAAATAGAGGTTACCAGGGCTAGGGGAAGACGAAAGAAAAGGGAATTATTGTTTAGGATTATTTAGGATAATGAAAATGTTCTGGAAATGGATAATTGTGGTGACTATACATTATGAATGTTCTTAATGTTACTAAATTATACACTTTAAAATGACTTGGCCATGGTGGCACTTGCCTATAATCCCAGAACTCTGGGAGGCTGAGACAGGAGGACTGCAAGTATAAGCCCAGCCTGAGTGACTTAACAAGACTCTATCTCAAAATAAAAAATAAAAAAGGGGAATGCCAATATAGCTCAGTGCAATGGCCCAGTACCAGTTCAACCCCCAGTACCATGAAAAAAATTAAAACGGTAAAATTTGTAAGTATATTTTACTATGAGAAAGAAATGTTAAATAAAAATAAGCATTTAGGGTTTGGCTGAACAGAACAGTGAGCTGTGCTCTCGAGAGGCTCTGAGTGCCTCTTTTCAAAAGTATCTAGGATTCAAGCAACCGAGAGTGTGGGAGGCAAAGCAGAGAAGAGTGCTGATATCGGGCTGGCTGCTATGGAGGTAAATATGAGTCATTTCTCCCACCCAAGAAGGTGCATTTTCTTGTATAGAGTCCTGCTTTGTGTGAAGGAATTTTTAATATACTTGAAAAGAGTAACAACAAAAACACTACACAGGTTTGGGAGGTAGAGTCAAAAGACGAGGGCTTTCATCTCAAATATTTTACTACCAATCTGGGTAACTCAGGCTTCTGAGGTCTGTTTCCATTTCTGCAAACTAAAGTGACAGAACCAGATGATACATGACCTCTACCAGCTCTACAATTCTATGATTCTAAGGCCCTTTTCTAAATAGGTCCATTGAGTACAAGGAAGAAAATGCAGTTTCCCATTTCTTTCGCCATTGCTATTATTTTCTAGGCTCTCTACTCCTCCTACCCAGAGGAATAGTGAACATACCAGTTTTCTAAAGCTACAGTTAGTGAAGGGTCAGAGGAAGAGAACCCTTGTAACTTTTAAGTATAGCATAAAATCACTGACTTTTTAAAAAGTTTTAAAAGAAATAACACTGTACTACTAATTTTCAACTGTTGATAAAATATAGCTATGAGGGGCCAGGGATTTAGCTCAGTGGTTCCGGCACCTGCCTCGCAAGTGCAAGGTCCCAAGCTTGATCCCTGGTACCAAAAAAAAAACTATAGCTATGAGAATTAAGTTATATATCAACAGTAACTATTTTTCTTTTTCTAGACTGATTGTGTGACAAAAAGCAGTCTAATTACTCCTTAATGAGAGTATAAGTAAAGGAACTTTTGTAATCGTTTCTCGGCCTTTTGGCTAAGATCAAGTACAGGAACTTTTTGTAACCATCTTTTATTCAAAAGCAATAAGAAACATTCAGTAGTTCTTTACCTAACCTATAGTTCCTCTGTTCAAATTAAATTCATTCCACTCAATTATTCAAAGCTCCTGTTAAGAAAAGTTCAAATTTTTCCAACATTTAAGAACATTTTACGTGCTATCATTCACACCATTTTAAATTAGTAAATTAGGATAATATCATAGAATGTCTGTGCATATAAAATGGTTAGGATGGAGTCAGTGTTAAAAGAAGGTTTTTGGTGAAATGGTTTTGCATTCATGATGCCAGTTATTAAACTGAGCAATTCACTCTTCACTCTATTCATTTTATAAGAAATAAAACATATAGGGCCAGGGATTTAGCTCAGTGGTTCCGCCACCTGCCTCACAAGCACAAGGTCCCAAGTTTGATCCCTGGTACCAAAAAAAAAAAAAAAAGAAAGAAAGAAAACAGATATACCAAAAAGCCTAAAAGCACTGTAGTATTAATGGATGAAGTTTTCTTAGACAATAAAGTAGAATGGAGGAACAAATGTCAATATCCTAAAAGGGGGAAAAAAGACCAATAGTAGAACAGTCATTTGCAATTTAAGACCATATCCCACCATAAAATAATATACCACCAATATTCCAATGGAATTATTTTCATTAGGTTATTTTTATTTTTAAGATTTTTCTTTTTAAAATTCATAGTGTTGGACTCCTAAGTCAGGCTTCAAGTATGTTATCAGGAAACTCAGAAAGTTCCAGCACCATAACATATTTTCTCTAGGTGATAATAAATCATATTTCAAGGACACCTAAAGGGAATCAAATAATGCCTCATATACATAAAACAAGAACAGATCTCACTCAAGATTAGCATGATAAATGTATAAAGACATTCAAAATCATCTTTATTAAATGATGACAAAATAATCTGATATAATACTTCCTGATACAAGAAAATGGATTATGAACTGACTTATAGTATATTTCTTAAAATCCCAAAGTAAAATAAAAATTTATAGATAGAATCCATCTGCACACATTGTCATCCATCTTTTATGACTATTCCTCTGTATTTCAATATCCTCTTCCATATACTTATATGATGGTCACTACATCTTTTCAACCATATTCCTCCCCCTGGATTGTAACCCATTCCCTATAAAATCTCTTCAAAATAACACAACCACCACAAACTTCTCACTTCTACCAAATTTTTATCTTGGCTAGCTCCCCTGAAAGAAGGCAATCAGGTAAATTCACAATAAGAAGGTTCTAAGGGGTAATAGACTTTGTAATATATGATCTCTCCTTCCTTCTCCAACCTCATGTCTCATGTCTAAGCACTGGGTCCCTCCCTTCCAGCCAGTCACCTGCTTTCTCACACGTCCTACTTCAGAGCTTTATATAAAGTAGGCCAGAATTGATTGTTGTACTTAGCACATTGCTGGGATATCAAATATCTAATAAAATAAATTATAAATTAAAATCAAGCATAGATTATATCTAAACAAATTATTTTCTACTTAAGACAGTGACCCAGCTTTGAGACCATCAGCCCCAACAAGCTTCAGAATGATAACAAGGCATCCTTAAATCCATATACCTGCCAGTAATACCAAAAGACTAAATAAACCAGGTACTTCTCAAACATAAGGATGACTATTTCTCAAATGTAGATGATGAGGTGATATATAAAGTCCAAATATATTCAAAGATCATATAGAGTTCATAATTGTTTATCATTAAATATCTTCTCAGCTTATACAAAGTAAGTAACTACTAGTATAACTGAGTTATTAAAAGCATTGGCATTGTAAAAAGTATCCCATGCCAAAATGTATTGAAAGTCACCAGCCCAGGGTTCAATACTAAACTCCTCAGACAAGGTTTGATGTATGTGGATTGCATTGTTTCAATATGTATATACATAAGCTGACATACTTCCTTTCAGTGATAAAATCAAAAACACATACAGGATATTAAGTTTTACCTATGTGCATAAGAAGACTGGATTTACATTTGGAGTGATAAATTTGAAGTTAGAAAATGAAAATAAACAAATATATATTTATATACATATACTCAAGTCCATACAAAAATATATTAGTTTAATCCCCAGTACATTGTAATCTGAAATGTTCTCTTAGCATGAATTGCCTATAATTACTGTTAGCTAAATAGGCCCACGGGGCCCAAATGTCCCATCCCACGTTATAAAGAGCCCCCATCCAATTCATTAGCCAAGTGCTCCTTCTTTAACAACAACTAATACAGTAGAATAGGTATGAACTCATCAGTAACTCTAAGGCAGGTTGATTGCTTGGTCCTCCTTGAATTTGGGGATCTTCTTAAACTCACTTTGTTTTCTGAAGAAAAGTTGGGCCAAGATGTGGTCTGCAGTGGCCTGGACGTAATCATCCATGTCAAGGGTTTGCAGCTGATGGTATAAAATCAAAAGAAGATGTGTCAGCACGAAACTGTTCAGATTCCTGCAGAGATCTTATAGCTCTCAAGGCAAGTGCAGTACTGCTTGATACTTGGCTATGAACTTCTGCACTTGCTCACCTTCAGTGCCAGTCTTCCCTTGCCATGCAGAGCTCACCTTTTCAACTCTAAGTATAGAAAGTCCAATGGCTAGAATGACTGAGACATCTCAAGATTTCCTTAGAAGGAACTTCTGTCCTAATGGAAAATGGTTCTCTGTGAGGAGTGAGCAGGTCTATCTTTTTTTTCTGTGAGCAAAGACTAGTGGCAAAAGGACTTCCAATCTCCCCCATAGAAAGTAGGATGTTGTTCTGGGAAATAATCATCACTCAGCAGGACATAGCCCATCTTTGGGCTAAAGCCTTGTTGGTGATACTGCATAATTCATATTGTGCCCACCCCGGGAGCCTTTGTTGTGGCTCCTTGCAGGAAGAATCACAGCCGAAAGATATGTGTGTTTGTTCCTGAACTTCCCCCAGATGTTCCTAAACAGACTTAAAATTCTTACTCGTCTCAGAAGGTAACCTAGTCCTAAGGACTTCTAAATATCTAAAGTCCACAGGAAGGGGAAGGAAAGGAGATTAATTAAAAAAAAATTTTTTAAGGAGGCATTGTGAAGCTCTGTGTACAGGTAGCAAATCCCTACAAGGACTGTGATCATCATGTACCACAAACACGTATAAAGAAAGTATATATATAATATATATATATATTTTTTTTTTTATGAAGAGGTCCAAGAGATGTGAGGAGGGAGAGGGAAAGGATGGGAAGGTATTAAATAAAAAGAATTGAGAAATATCATTTACATGTACCAACTCCCCATGATGAATGTAATCATAATATACTACATGTACTAATAAAAAATAGTAAAACAATAAGGTCTACAATTTATCTCTGTTTCTTAACACATTATCCCATCTAATAAAAAAATGGGATGAATTTTTAAAAGCAAAAAGTTAATGCAGTGAATAATTTTTCTTAATTTGTGCTTTATAGCTTAGATCGTATTAGATAAATGCTTAAAATATCATGGGAAGGAATGTTATTTTATTACTCAGAAGTTTCTTTCCATACATAAGAAACTTTCTCGTTTTTCCCTCTCTATCTCCCTTTCTCTCACTCATTTTCTCTCTTCCCTCCGCTTCCAGTCCATTTAAGAGGAACAAAGTGGGCATGTTCACTTCAACTCCTCCCTCTTTGTGTTTGGGAGCCTGTAAACCTTCAAAAAGCAGCTGTTACTTTATGCCATAAGTTTAAAGGCCTGCCTCAACATGGGTATGCCTAGCCAATCCTGGGATCAATATTAGGAAATTCATTTGCCCACAGGTATTAGTCACATTCTCTAACATCTGCTTGGTTAGTAGTTAAGATGATTTCATGGATCTCTGTATACTGACTCTTTCATTTTTCTCACTTGTTCAGAATTTGGGAAATTAAGAGGGAATTTGATATATTGGAACCTGTTAGAACTAAATGGTGATTTTTTTTATTCTCCTTGCTCTTCACACAGCTTCATCCAGCTCACTGATTACTCCATTCATTTAACACACAGTTATTTATTGAGAGCCCCATTTGCCCTACACTGCTTAGCAGAATATTCTGCAGATTACTAACACAGCATTCTCTCTTAAATGGGCTTATATTTACCTTGTCTCCAGTGCTGAAGGCAAGAATGAAAAGCAAATCCTCATCACATGTGTTCTTAATGTAATGCTGGGTTCCAATGGGGAAAAATATCACATCTCCAATGTGGATGTTAAATTCTATAATACCCTGAGTATTAATAATACCCACCTAAGGGAGAAAATTGTGTTTACATTAAGTACAAAAAAATCAAATACCCATTAAAGATAAATATTAATAGCAAAGAACAGGTGACTAAAAACCATATGGTTATATGAGGACTTCTTAGTTACAGTAAAATGCAGAAGATGGAGGTCATCTTTCACAAAAATTCCTGATTCACAAAAATCAAAATATACTTAGGTAAGTGTTATTCAAAATGCACTACTGAGTTCAATATGCAAAACGTCATGTAAGAAAATCATCAATTGCTATTTTGTAATTAAGGATTACAAATTCTGTTCCATATACTTGAGGCAGAGGATTTACAGTCAGGGTTTCACTACCCCCACGCCTTCATTTCTGTCAGCCTTCTGGAAGAGTAACATATTAATAGTCTTTCTTAAAAGAGTTAGAGATTAGCTGGGGATTTAGCTCAGAGGTTCCAGCGCCTGCCTTGCAAGGGCAAGGTCCCGAGCTCAATCCCCGGTACCAAAAAAAAAAGAGAGAGAGACTAAAAATGTATACAAATGCATACACAAGCACAACAAAAGTAAAATCTGATCTTTGAAATATAATTTGTGAAAGATCACAATGCTTTTTCCCAATGCATTAAAGTATTCACCTCTTAAAACATAGAACAAATCTTTTGCTATAAATGACACGAGTGAATTTCAGACTGATTTTGGTTCTTTCAAAAAGAAGTTCTTCCACCTCTGCATATATTGTACATTTCCCAAGAGAATCCTGTGAAACTCTAGAATAATCACAGTCAAATTACTGTATGTACTACACAGCTTAGCTTTTTTTAGTGGTATTCGTAAAAGTGATCACATAAACCAGACTCTCTGTAGAGTCAGTGGAAATATTATTAATTTCACCGAGAAAACAAGTATATATTGGGAGTATTCTGGACCAGCTGGGATATATGGCCACCATATTGGTATTTCTCACCTTCCCAGCTACAGCAATTCACATTATACTGAGAAGCAAATGGCTATTTCACACTTTGACAAAGAGCAACCAATTCCACTTTGCATTACCTGAGAGTGCAAAACACTCAAAACCTAAGCAAATATTTCAGACCTTCCATCAAAAGTGATCAGTCTTTATCACTTCTAATATATTCTTAGCTTCTTCTCACACACATCTTGAATCTTTCTGACTCATCCAACTTGGAGACCATTTAACAGGGTCTGCATAGTATCATCTGTCAAAACTGTGCCCAGAAAGTTATTGGGACAGTTATTTCATGTTACTAATGACTGCACCAAAACAATAATAACAAAAATCTCCCATTAGCTTCTTTCTGCATTAAAAAAAACCACAAAAAATGTTTACAGAGAAATTACCTTTCCACAGCCACTTAATACATATCCCATTTCATTTGCATTAAAATGAAAATGTGGTTGTCGTAATCCATTGTTATAAATTCTGAGTGTACTCAAACTGAGAGCATTTTCATGCTTAAAAAAGAAAAAGAAATCCAGTTATTTTGTCAACATGCTACTTAAAAACTTAATTCATATAATAATGAAAATAACTAATATTTATGCAGCTCTGAGAATATGTAATTTTTATGACCTTAACACCTACTACATCACTTATTCCTCCCAACAATCTTATAAGGTCCATAATATTCTATTCTCTTCCTTTTACAGGTGATGGAATTAAAATCTAAGTTGGCTGAGGAATTTACCTACGATCACACAGCTAAGTGGCAGAACTTGAATTTGAACCTATGGAATCTGATGCCACATCTATGCAATATGGTCAGTTGAGCATTTAAAACAAATGAAAAGAGAACTCGCACAAGTATCCAGTCTTTTCACTAATATAACCATCCATGTCCCAGAAGTTAAGTTCCTAGATCTGCATTGAAGCTTCAATTAATAATTTACATTGATCAAGTCAGCCAATGCTCAGCTAGATCTTTCCTTTTCCTTTTGTTCAAAAGAAGCCTGAATCCAATCTAAATCTCATATTTCATGAATGCTTATCAAAACATTTTCTCAATTACCTCATTCAGGAATTCACTGAAAATTTTTTCATTGTTGCTTAGTTCACTTCCATTCTTCCAATAATGTGCCTTTTGTATTACTCCTCCTGGAAACTGATATTCTTTCGATCCTGAGTCAGATGAGGTTTAAGAAATAAAATAAAATACTTCAAAATAGTAAAGTCTAAATACTTTAAAAGGCTTCATAAAACAATATACCATATGGGGCCAGGGATTTAGCTCAGGGGTTCTGCTGCCTCCTCCGCAAGCGCAAGGACCAAGTTTGATCCCTGGTACCAAAAAAAACAAAAAAAACCCCAATATACCATACCTTTAAGGTCAAAAAAGTATCTCCACACAAGGCTATCTGGAGATTGTAGATAACTAGCATTCATAACCAGCTCTGCCAAGTTGTTAGGAAGATTAGCCCCTTGGTCTTCTGTTTGCTTATGAAATTTTCTAATAAAATTAATTCCACCTGCAGGCTGAAATACATAAGAAACTATGTAAGATATTTGTGAAACATTCTACAAATTGTAGTAGTAGAAATGTGAGCAGCTGAGAACTGGCTAGCACTAATACCAGTGTGGTTCTCCATGACCCAGGCAAAAGAGCTGACCTCAATTAACTTCATTCTTGTAATCCTTGTGAAGATCCCTTAAACTTTTAGTATTTTGGTTCAAATAGTTTGTATTTTTATGGTAAATAAAACTCCTGCAAAAGTATACATTGGTTCACATCCTTACCAATATTCTCTCTAATGAATCATTTCTCTTATTTCTCCCTATAGCATTAAACTACTAGAATATTGCAAAATAACCTCAAAAACTTATCAGGCAGATTCCTGAGCTTACCACAGAACCCCTTCCAGTTGCCCATTTTTGGCCATCACCAACTCTTTCCAGTTTGCAATGTCACCATCCGTCTGTTAGCATCCACACCTGACCCTCTGTAACCAGCCCCAGCCCCATTATCAGTCATCCCCTTGCCCCAGTAACACATTTGAAGAGGTCATTTATTGTTATATAAGTGTAAGACATTCTGCTATGCTATTCCACAGTAGGGTGACAATAAGAAATAATGTTTTAAATAAGAAGCGAGATACTCATGTAATGGTACAAGATCCCAATGATGTATATAAATGTATTTTATATCTAAAATGTACTAATAAACTTAATGGGGGAAATAAATAAAGAAAGAAAGAAAGAAAAGAAAAGAAAATACAAAAAAAAAGAAACAATAATGTTTTGTACATTTTACAAAGCTAGAAGAACGGATTTAAGACTTTTTGCCATTAAAAAATGGTGAATGTTTAAGGATGAGGGCATATTTAATGATTTAAACATCATACAATGTGTACATGTGTCAAAATATCCCATGGTACTCCATTAACATGTACAATTTTGTTGTATCTGTTAAAAATAAATTCTTTTAGGGGCCAGGAATTTAGCTCAGTGGCACCGTGCCTGCCTTGCAACCGCAAGGTCTTGAGTTCGATCCCTGTTACTACAAAATAAATAGATAGATAGATAAATAAATTTTTTTAAATGTAGCAGTTCTTGAGGAAAAGCAATTCTTGTGGGATTCTCTACATGAGGTTAGGAAAAAATGATTGCAATATCTACAACAAACTTTACCCGAAAAAGAATGAGTAAGCTTATGATTTTTCCAGGATATAAATTACAGCAATTTTCCCATTGATTATATCACAATCTCCTGCTAACACATTGTAGTTTTCTAAGGAAGCTCTCCATAACTCAATTTCAGCACATTTTTGTCTTTAGTAGAAATACACGATACACTTTTGAGTCCATGACTCAATTGTCACCATACCCATGAGCAAATTTCTTCTGGATCTGTGCTGACTGCTGCCCTAGAAACAAATAGTTCTACTATCTTTGTGTCTACATTATAAATATCTTCATGGTGAGAGGTATTTTCAAAACTGGTACATACCTTAAGAGACCTGGAAGCAATGTCTTCAGGTATAGAGAAAAATACATCATCAACATCCAGAGTCTGAAGTTCATCATATGTAGAAAAGAAGAGCAAGAAAAAGCAGTCTTCATTACCCACATTCTTTATCCAGTGCAGTGTATTTTGGGGGAAGAAGATTACTTGGCCAGCTGTGATATTGTATGTGGTAGCTACTTCACCACCATCATCAATCCTTCTATCCATGCTGTGCCCTGAAATATAAACAAAAAAGCATCCCATTTCACTTTAGAGCGATTTTTCTCAATCTTTTTTTTACTGCCACCTTCTAAGGTATTATTTCAGACTTTTTCCTATCACCACCAGCCTATGAACGTTTAATGTGTGTGCACTTTCCAGTTAAGAAAAGACCTGACCACAATTTTAATAATAATAACAAGAGCTAAAACTTGGTGCTTTTATTATTTCAAGTATTCATATAAGCAATTTACCTGATTCAATTCAATTATTCCTTATATCAACACTATGAAACATAACACTTTATTATCCCCACTTTACAGGTGAAAAAACTGAGTTTAGCAAGAATGTTATTCATCTAAGTCAATGATGAAGCTGGGATTTGGACCTAAGCAGTCTGGCTCCAAAGTCTACACTTTCATCCATATTACACCATACTTTAACTCTGCTGATAGAAATTCTATACTTTCTCTCATTTTGTACCCTGTTCCTCAGTATAGGAGGTAGAGAAGATACTATTATTTCTGTTTTACCAGAAACTCATGCTCACATGCTATAATATGTACATGGGTAGATGAAAAAGAAGTCTTTTAAACAGGTATAGAAAGACCATGCCTGAATGTGATAAAAGCTATATATGACAAACCTATAGCCAGCATCATATTAAATGGGATAAAACTAAAATGATTCAGAAATAAGACAAGGATGTTCATTGTCACCTCTTCTATTCAACATAGTGTTTGAGCAATTAAGCAAAAGAAAGAAATAAAAGGGATACATATAAGAAAGGAAGAACTCAAATTATCATTATTTGTAGATGACATGATACTCTACATAGAAGGCCCAAAGAACTCCACCAAAAAAGTCTTACAGTTAGTAACAAACTTTAGCAATGTAGCAGGATACAAGATCAACACACAAAAATCATTTGCGTTTGTGTACACAATTAATGGGATGATAAGGAAATTATGAAAATAATACCATTCACAGTAGCTTCAGACAAAATGAAATACCCAGGAATTAACCTAAGCAAGGAAGTGAAAGACCTCTACAAAAAAAACTACAGTATTTTGAAAAGAAGTTTGAAGTGGATGTCAGAAACTGGAAAGCTGTACCCTGCTCCTGGACACGCAGAATCAATATAGTCAGAATGGCCATACTCCCAAAACTATTATATAAATTCATTATAGTCTCAATCAAAATACCAACAACATATTTTACACATCTACAAAAATCAATTCTAAAATTCATATGGAGCCAGAAGAGACCCAGAATAACAAAAGCAATTTTGAGCAACAAACGTAAAGCAGGAGGCATAGCAATGCCTGAATTTAAGCTATACTACAAAGCAATAGTAATAAAAACACTATGATACCGAAACAATAGATACATGAATCAATGGACCAGAATTAAGGACACAGCAACTTTCTCAGACAAATTCAACTATTTGATCTTTGACAAAGGGACCAAAAGCATATGTTGAAGGAAAGCCTATTAAACAAGTGGTGCTGGGAAAACTAGTTATCTGCGTGCAGAAGATTGAAACTGGACCCTTATCTCTCATCATATACTAAATTAAAATCAAAATGGATCAAAGATCTAAACATTACAACAGAAGCATTAAACCTACTAGAAGATAAAATAGATGAAACACTTGAAGACATAGGTGTAGGAAAAGATTTTCTAAACAGAACTTAATTGGACAAGAAATAAAAGCAGAATCAACAGACTGGATTATATCAGACTAAAGAGCTTCTGTACAGCACAGGAATCAATCAGTAGAGTGAAGAGAAAACCTACAGAATGGGAGAAAAATTTTGCCAGAATTTCTGACAGAGGACTGATATCTAGAACATGCATAGATCTCAAAAAAAAAAATTAAACCACCTAAAATTCTTTAATTTTAATTTCCAGTCAACAAACGGGCAAGAGAAATGGACACTTCACAGAGGAAGAAATACAAATGATCAACAAATATATGAAAAAATGCTCATCTCTGGCCATTAAAGAAATGCAAATTAAAATAAGATTCTATCTTATTCCAGAAAGAATGTTAATCATTAAGAAATCAAACAATAACAAATGCTAATGAGGCTGTGCTGAAAAAGGAATCCCCTTCATTGTTGGTGGAAAGGTAAACTAGTATAATAACCATTAGGGAAATCAGTATGGAGATTTCTCAAAGAACTGAAATTAGAAATTCTATATGACCCAGTGATCCCTTGCAGGTATCTTAAGTCATGAGTTTAAGTACTTAAGTTGTGAGCTTAATTCCTCGTATTACAGCAATACATGCATGCCAATGTCTATAGCAGCACAACTCATAACAGCTAAATCCTCTAAACAGCCTGAATACCCATCAACAGATGATTGGATAAAGAAAATGTGGTATCTATATATATTGGAATATTACTCTGCTATAAAGAATGGCATATTTGAGATGTTTGTAGGACACTTGATGCAACTGGAAAATAAAATATTGAGTGAAATAAACCAGACACACAAGTTTAAATACCGTAGGTACCTCTCATTTGAGTGAGGCAAAGAGAATAATAAAGGATAATAGAAGGGGACAAGGAGGTGGATCTCTTGCAATAGGGAAATGGTCCAAGGGAAAAAGCACAAGGAGTGAGGTGGAGGGGAAGAGGAAATAAGTAGAATAAAGATATTCCATGTACAGGACCCTAATAACCTCAATTAATGTAAACATTATATGCCATAACTTGAGCTAAGATTAATAATAACAAGAATGAAAAATCAGATAGGGCAACTGGGGAGGATGGAGGGAAGGGGAGGGAAGGAAATAAAAAAAAATCGACCTGTGGTATGGACTTGTAATCATTCCCCAAGAAGACTGTAAACTGCATGAATTGCAGTTATGTACTAATAAAATTTAAAAAGAAGTCTTTGATTTGTTTATATAGATATGTATAATTTGGATGCAGCTGGGAATTAAAGAGGAAAAGTGAACCTTTACAGAGCTCTCTCCAGAGAAGGACAGGAACATCTATTTATTCTTCTCAGGGCATCAACTCAGTGGCTGATGGGACTCTTACAGTGGTGAATGGGCCAGGCACACCAGCCACCTCACCTGCCTTGCTTCTCTCAGGCCCCAACTCCAAAGGACCTTGAAGATGCTCAGAAGCAGAAGCAGTCTACGTGAGAGCAGCAGAGAAACTTCTTACTCATTCTATTTGTTGGTTTCTTGACTGTAAGAGTCAGTGATCTCACAGTTTTCCTGGGATCTAGAGAATATTTATCACCATAAAATCCACATTTAGAAACTCACACTATAAACTCTCTCCAAAACAGCCTCTCTAGATTAAGCTGGATTCCAGAGCCTGCTGTCTACTCCAGCATGCTCCAGATCAATCTCCCTAGTGTGGAGTTTGCTATAGGGGTCCCCCTCCAGAAAAGTCCATTTAGCTGGCTTTTCTTTCTCTTTATTCTCTGCTACTGCTTAACAAGAATATAAAAAGTAATCTTTTGGAGAGTATCCCCTTTTATATATTTTATATCTATGGAAAAAACCAAAAAGTCAGAAAACAATGACTTTGTCCTAGGACAGCCAACAACTTTAAATATCTCCATCCAAATATCCATAAACATAAAAGTTTCCTAATGTCTCTGAGCCTTTTGTGAGAAATAAAGATTTGGTTTCATATAGACAAATCTAATCTCCCTTCTTGTTTTAAATTCTAAAACTGGATTAACTTGCCAAGTAAGAAAAAGTGGGGGGGGGGTCTTAATTAACAATAACAAAAAAAATACACCATAAAATTGTCTGCACATCTGTTAAACAGATCACCAGGGTAAGACCAAACTCTGCAAGTTCTGGGAAATCTTAGTTACTACTGTTTCCCCAGGACTTAACTGGAAGAAAGAAAACCAATAAATATTTTTTGGAATTAACAAATTATTTGAAATTCAAGTAAGTACACTCATTTCACCTCCATCTATCTGTATTTCACTTGAATTCAGAATATTCTGAAAGGTCTAAACCACAAAAGAGCATCCAATTGGCCTGATGTTGGAGACTCCCAACTGAACATCAGCAAACTAGTTTGTTATTCTGGCTGCTGCTTTTTTCTTTACAGGAAAGCTGGTGTTTTCTTTTATCATTAGATCAGAGATGCCGGTTTTAGCTTCAGCTCAGAGGACAAAATAGTAATCTTATTTTAACAATAGTGTGTGAAATATAATTTCATACTGAATAAAAATGTTCAAAGTGATGGAAAAAATAATTAAACAGCCCAATGCTCAGAGGCACTGCTAACCAATCTAATTAAATCTAATTGAAAGCCTGGATATTTGTCTAACAATTAAGTAGATGTTAAGTAGATTTTGTAACAACTTAATACCCTGAGGACATACAACGTAGATGCTTAAGAGCAGAGTGTAGGCAGACCAGTTATACCTGTACCAGACAGCCATGTTCATTAGCATTGAAGTGCCAGTGAGGGGCCCGGAGGCCCTTGCTTTTTATTCTCAGGGTCCCTAGAGTCATCTGTGATTTCTGACTGTTCAAGCTGGTGCCAAAGGCCTCTTCTTCATCATTGAGATAGTCTTTGACATCGTTCCTGTACCGGGCCCACTGGATTGCACCACCAGGAAAGTCAAACACCTAAAAAAGCATAAACAAGCAACCACCAGGATGGAGGCCATCTCCTAAGGAATGTGAGAGCACCAGGACCTACTTACAGAGTAAGAAGAAGGCAAAATGGAAAAGGCAATGGTGGTGAAGTTAATTCTGGAGTTTTGAAGACAAGGAATAGGTCTGCAACAGGTCAGGAATGACAATAGTGGTATATGCAGTGCTACTAGTCTAAAACCTGTTAGACATAAAAAGAACACCTAACTTGGCAGATGAATAGAGGGCTTTCCATTTGTATATCTGAAATAGTCCCTTCCAGTTAGACACACAGAATTATCTACTGAAGAAATTTCTCCCTGGGGCCCATAACAACCCAATTGTCCTTCTCTATCCTCCATCTCCTTTCCTCCTGCTGCCCTTCCAATAGAAAACAAAGCTTAGCAACACGCAATAGAAAGATAGTTTTGAAATAACTATTTAGAAGATTATTTTTTCTAATGTCATGATTCATACCTTTGACTTAGGTAAGTGGTTAAGAAGCTGGAATTTGGGTTGAACAGCCTTTTGTACTTTGGGAACTGCTGTTGTTTGTGGAGGCCAGGCAGGTTTGATCTGAACATTTAAACGAGGCTGGGAGTTAAGGTAAACCAAGGAGACAATCAGTACTCCTATTGCTGTAGTGATGAAGCAGGCCAAGAGACACATGAGGAAAACGTTCACCAAGGACCACTGCTTCTTCTTTTCCTAAGAAAAATTATGAAATCATTATCTCTATTCATGATATATTAGAAATTCTACCTCATAATCCAAGGAAAAATTGAATCCCCCTACAATACTGGTGGGAATGTAGATTAGTACAACAACTATGGAAATCAGTATAGAGGTACTTCAAAAAACTAAAAGTAAAATCACTATATGACCCAGCTATAACACTCCTCAATACATACCCAAAGGTACTGAAGTCAGTGTACTATAAGGGTACCTACATACCCATGTTTATTGAAGCATAATTCTTTTTTTTTTTTTTTTTTTGGTACCAGGGATCAAACTTGGAACCTTGCAGCTGTGAGGCAAGCAGCGGAACCACTGAGCTAAATCTCCAGCCCTGAACCATGATTCATAATAGACAAACTATGGAATCAGCCTACATGTCAATCAGTGAATGACTAGATAAAGAAAATGTAGCATATATACATAATGGCATATTATTCAGGTGTAAAAAAGAAGGAAATTATACCATTTGCAGGAAAATGGATGTAACTAGAGATCACTGTATTGAGCAAAATAAGCCAGATTTAGACAGTTAAGTGTCACATGTTTTCCCTAATATGTGGAATCAAAAGGGGTCGAGAAGGAAAACAGAAAAGAGACTAGTAGATAAGAGGAAGGAAATAAAGATGGGGGAAGGGGTTATAAGCAGGGTAATGGGACAATGGAGAATCAAAATAACGCATGTATGTAACAAATTGAAACCCAAAATTTTATAAAATTAATAGATATTAACAAAAAAATATTTAAAAAAACAAAAACAAGAAATTAAGATACAGGAAGACATGAGGGAGTTCATTTGAAGATAACAGAAGTTGACCATCTAGGGCTGGGGGATTTAGCTCAGTGGTTCTACCACCTGCCTCGCAAGCACAAGGTCCAGAGTTCGATCCCTGGTACCCCAAAAAAAAAGAAAGAAAGAAAGAATATGGCCATCTATAAGCCAAAGACAGAGACCTAGAATGAAACCAACCCTGCTGACTCCTTGATGTTGGAATTCTATTGTTTAACTTCCTCCCTAAAAGAAAAATTACCTCTTCTTTTCATTTCTTGAATTTGTCTTTCTACTAACTTCAACTAAATCTAACAAATAAAATGAAAGAATGTCTTTTTTAAAGTAGACTTAAAATTTATGTTTTATCTCTGGTTTGAATCAGGAGACAATCAGAATGGGAGATACTACCTTTCCTAATAAGATACCTGGCCTATGGCATCTTGCATGAGCTCTGTGTCAGGGTCCTGGGGGGAACAAATCTCTAGATAGAAACACAGAAATTTTGCAATGGAAAGAATCCTAAAGATTTTAGATTAACCTCTATGTCTCATTTTCCTGATGAGGCTTAGAAAGGAGCAATGATTTGTGAAAATCCACCCTGTTATCTGTAATTGAAAATCTAAAAAGAAATTCTCTTGATTCTGAACTTTTTCCACTAAACCACAGTGCTACCACTGCATATCATTTGGGGATCATTAAAATTTAAATTAATTCTGGCAGTCCAACATTCTCAATGGAAAGTTTAGATTTACATAAATCTCAAAGCTCACACTTAGTTTAATTTTTTAAAAAAGAAAAGGATAGCATATAACTTCATATATCTCAAAAAGTATTACTTTACTAGATACGGTTAATATTTCTTTCTTAATTATTGGCTTTCATCAGCATTTCTCAAACTTTTTTTTCCATATTCTCATTAAGAAATGCAATTTTGGGCCAGGCTTTAGCTCAGTGGTGCCACGCCTGCCTCTCAAGTGGAAGGTCCTGAGTTTGATCCCCCATACTGCAAAAAAAAAAAAAAAAATGCAATTCCTATTGTGATCTAGTACAACACACATAGAACACACACATGTAAATGCACACTAAAATACACATGTGTATCCATACACACCAAATAAATAACATTTCTCAAACAATACTTGTATTCTATTCATTTTTAAATGCCAATTTCAACCCTTTATGTATTTTCTGACTAGTGGATTCAACTTGGAGTTAACCTAAATCTTTAAATAGAAGACAAGACAAAATATTATTCTGCTCCCTCAAGTTGATGAAGAAAGCATTATGAACAAGGACAATGAAAAACGAGCTGAAAAAAATAAATAAAAACTTCCCCCTTTAACTTCTCTGAAGTTTATTGACCAGCATGGATAAAACAGTCTCTCTAGTAGGCCCCAATAAAACAGTTTTTTACTTGGTGATATTAATCATTAAGTTAAAAACACTTAATACTATAAGCAGCCATTCAAAGTGAGTAAGACCATTAGTAAAGACCTAGAGGAGGTTTATGAGAAAGAGGCACCACAGGATATATTCAGAGCAAGAGATGTTAGCTTTTGAAGATCTCTTGAGGAGAGATGGTCTAAAGAGTGGTTCTTTCCTGAGCATAAGAGTCTTGCGGGGACATAACCTCACAATGTCAATCCCCACCTTACCATTCTGGATATGGTGCTCATCTTTCCCACAGACAAAGTATTCTGTGCTCCATCTTCATGTATTTCAAATGCTGAGTTGTCCATTGAAAAAAAGGATCAAACAATTTACTAAAAAGAAAAAAAGGGAGAAGAAACAGGTTTGGAAAACTGGAGAAACTCTAAGAGGAAAAGAATGAGAACTTGTAGGTAAGAGAGTACTTATATAGGGCTGACATTAAGGAAATTAAATAAGGAAGTTGCCTCTCAAATTATCCTGGTTTAAAAAAAATTGAAAAAATTGTCAAACAAAAGGCCAATAAACTAATTGCTTTGATTCCCAATTCTTTACCCACTGATGACACACACAAGTAATAATAATGATAGCTAACATTTACTTCCTTCTCTCACTACATGCCAGAAATTGTGTTAAGTGTTTTACAAATGTGTGATTTCATTCTTAAAGTAAATCTATCAGGTGCTATAGTTATTCCCATTTTTCAAATTAGGAAACTGATGACATACACAGATAATGATCATCATAGCTAACTTTTATTTCCTCCTCTGCTTTGTGTCAGCAATTGTGCTAAGTGTTTTACAAACATGGTAATCTCGTTCTTACAGCAAGCTTATCAGGTGACACAGTAATTTCCACTTTTCAAAATAGAAAACTGAGGCACAAAGAAGTGCAGAAAATGCCCCAAAATCACAAACCCAATTTTAGTGCTACAGCAAAGTACCTTTTATCCTAGAATCCTTCTATTATGTTAGAACATTAGTAATCTTTTGTACCCACATCAGTCTTGCCTCTAAACAGTGTGACTGATTTTCCTAATAATTTATGAAATAGTTACTTTAAAGCTAAATCTTATAAAATCCACTTTGTATCATCTAAATTGGTGGCGATGGCCTGGCTACTTGAAAAACTTCTATTATAATTCACAAAACAGTCACCTGTCTTTCTTTCCTATCCATCTTCCCACCTTTATTCCTTCTATAAACATGGCTGAATGTCTTCTATATTCCAGACTGTATGACACTCTGGTATAACATTCAGAAAGATTCCTTTGAGTAGCTCATACTCAAGTAGAAGAAAGAAAACAAATAATTATAATAAAATGGCTAAGGTTTATGTTTTAAGACTTGTAAGTATCCTTTATAAGGCCCTGAGAGGATGCAGAAAAAAAAATTGCCTGAGGAGGTAAGAAAAGGCAAGTCCTACACTAAAATATAATTTTGAGCTAAGCCTTCAAGTCCCAACACAGCTTCATTGGATAGGCACACTGAGTCAGTTACACTCTATCCTGTACTTCTGGCTTGTATATAAGCAGCTTGAGAACAGACTATGTAGTAAGAATATAGACCCTATCAGGGTCAGGCAGCATAGGCTCCAACAAGGCTGTAGATAAGTTTATGTCTAAGTGATAGAGAGTTAACTATAGGGCTTTTTTTACTATATTTCATCCAATCTAAACTGCATAATTTTCCACATTTTTGAAATCACTGAAAATAGGATGTGTTTCAAAATAAGTGGTCTTTTAGACTCACCTAAATATAATATGGCCAATTTTCTTTGTTTTACCAGGCAATAGTACTATGCAAACTTTTAAAGCAAGTTTTATATAATTTTGAGTGCTGCTGCTCATTCTTCAAAATGTGAAAACACTGCCCTCTGACACTAACATTATTTTGGGGCTATACTTAACATTTATTTGAACAGTGGGACAAGCAAGTTATCAACTAAGCTGCAATAAAGCTCACTGGCCCATTGAATCAAACAACTGCAGCAGCTGGATAAGGTCCTTTTGATCTTTGCCTATAAGGAGATGAATGCCCAAGCCAGCTAAGTATTTTTCCCAAGGAAGCAGAGTAAGACACAGAGTCAAAACAAAAGCTCAACTCTCCAACTGTCAGCTAGAGCTTTTCCTACATCTTCTGCTTGCAGCAGAAAGACTTCAGGCTTTTTGATACATATGTAAATGGTTCAAGATGAATTGAGGCAGGACAGCTGAAAGCAGGAATATTATAAAAATCCTTTCAAGGCAGGTAATAAAGGTAATTCTGTAGTGCAATCGAAAACCCCACTCAAATAGTGTATTCACATTTTCCTCAGAAATGAAGTTGGTTACATAAGACCAAAAGTGCTTAGCAGGCTAGGAAAAAAAGACGCACAACTATAGGCTGAACCAGATCCTACTAACAGCAGCCAGCAAGTATCAGACATAGAAAAAGGGTAGAAAATTGGTGACTCCATTTAGTGTTCATCTAATTACATATCTAGTAATCATTTTTAAACAAGACCCATATTAAATAAATCAGGCACATATATTTAATTATCACATTGTTTCTCTGGTGCGAAAAATCAAAGGTGTAAATAAGGACCAAAATGTATAGTAGATATTGGGAAATGGGAAGAAAATGTTCAAATGGAAAGGGGAACAAAAAGGGAGGGGAAAATGAAAAGAAGAGAAAAGAAAAAAGATAACAGAAGGAAAAAATGGAAACAAAGATTTTTGTAAGTAAGGAGGGAAAGAGGGGTTGAAGAGAGGAGAGGGGATTGGGTGAAAAAAGAATCAAGATTTATTAAGTACAGGTACAAATTCTTTATGATGAATGTGATCACTATGTATATCTAAAATGTACCAATAAAATTAACAAAAAATGAACATAATTAGGAAATAAAAATATCTTAACCAAGTGACCAGTATTAATAATAAGCATAATATATCTTGGTATCACATACTCCCTCATATGATACAGTGAGAAAAGCAAATCACCTCGAGCCTAGAGTAGCCATCCCAATAATGCATAACTTTATATAATCATGAAAACAACATCAAAAACACCAAATTGAGTGACCATTTACAAAAGTAATGAACCTTCAAAGTGGCAACAAATGAAATAATCAAAAGGTTGAAGAAAGACAACCTATAGAAAGGGAAAAAATATTTGCAGACTATTCATATGACAAAGAATCAATATTCAGAATATATAAGGAATTCAGACAACTCAACAACAATAAAGCAAATAACTTGATTTTTAAGTGCGCAAATGACCTAAATAGACATTTCTCAAAGATACACAATGGGCCAACAAGTATATTAAAAACTGCTCAACATTACTAATCAAAACCCAAATCAAAACCACAATGAAATATTATCCCAGTCCAATTAGAATGGTGATTACAAAATAATAATAATAATAATAATAATAATAATAATAATAATAATGAATGCTAATAAAGATGCAGCAAAAAGGGAACTCTTGTATACTGTTGATAGGAATGTAAACTAGTACAGCCATTATGGAAAACAGCATAGAGGACCCTTAAAAAACTAAAAAATAGAATTGTTATATGATTCAGCAATCCCACTACTGGGTACCTAGCCAAAGAAAAACATGTTGAAGAAACATTTGGACTCCCATGTCTATCAAAACACTATTCCCAATAGCCAAGATGTGAAACTAACCAAGGTCTCCATTAGTGGTTAAATGGGTAAGATATGGTATCTATACACAATGGGATATTATTTGGTTATTTTAAAAAGATTGAAATTCTGTGTTTTGCAGCAACATGGATAGAGCTAGAAGAGATTATGTTAAGAGAAGTAAATCAGGCATGGAAACACAAATATCACATGTTCTCATTTATGTATGAAAACTAAAAAGTTGATCTCCTAGAAGTAGAGAAGTGATTATCAAATGGGTTAGTAGGAGCAGAGGAAGATTAATGATGGTTAATGGGGACAAGAGTGCAGATGGGTAGAAGGAGTAGCTTCTAATGTTCTATAGTAACATAGGATAACTATGGTTGACAGCAATTAACTGAATATTTCTAACAGCTAGTAGAGAGAATTCTTTAATGTTCCCATCAAATAATTAATAAAAATCTGAGGTAACAAGCCAACTATCTTGATTCAATCATTACACGCTGTATACATATCTGGAAATACCACACTGTACTCCATAAATGTATGCAATTGTTATGTGTCAATTGCAAATTTAAAAATATATATTTAAAGATAAGTGACATGGTCATAAAACCCAGAAAAAGACAGGAATTGTTACAGGATTGAGATGACAAAGGAAACATGATAATTAAATGGGTTAAATTATTGGAACACTAAAGTGACATTACAGGAAAAACTAATGAAATCCGAGTAAGGTCTATACTGTAGTTTAGTTAATAGCATTATGCAAGAATTGTTGAATATTGTGCTATTTTTGTATAGGTGATAACATAAAGAGAAGGTAGGAAAAATATATTCAGGAAATTATCTTGGCAACTCTAAAATTCTGTCAAAATAGGAAGAAAGAGAGATAAAGGAGAAAGGAGGAAGTAAGGGAAAATCTATTTTCTCATTTTCCTAGGCACAAAACTAGTATATATCTCTCAACATTACTTACAGTTAGGTATTGCTATGAGACTGAGTTGTGTTGACAGAATGAGTAGAAATTCTGAATGCCATTTCCAATCTAAGACTTTTTAAAAGAGGGTAAGCCCTGCTATGCCTCATTTTACTTTTAGCAGCTGGATACAGTGATGTCCTGTGGAGATCAGAGCCACGAGATGGAAGGAGCTGGGTCTCTAATTCACTTACAAAGGAAATCTATCTGCCAATGAGGAACACCCACCTCAAACTCTTGCATATACAAGCAATAAAATTCTGTTGTATTGTACCATTATACATTTGGGAAATCTATTATTTATCATAAACTGAAACTAAAACATATTTATGACCTTTCTAGCCTCTATTTCTCACTGGGATATGCTGCAAACTCAATCATTTGAAATGTTTAGCTCCATCAGAAGCATACTAAAAGCTAGAGCATGCTAATAAAAAATTTGGTATGTACAAGAGCTGCTGACTGCAATATATGTCAAAGGGACAGACTGAATATATACTAAGATACAACTCTGCATTACATGACCTGAGTTTGTTTTCCTGAAACATATCCAATCAAAAAGGATATTATTTTCCTTAGAAATGGAGTCAAGTAGATCTTTCTATATGTCATGCTGGTAAAGGAGAAAAAGAAGTGCTATCAAATTTCATAAAATTTCCCCATTACAAGGTACATGTTTAGGTCTTACATGCTTTATACATTCTTCAGTCTATTAGCCTGGTTTTTAATTGGTATATATGATAATTTTATAAGGTCTTATAAGATAAATAATGAATCTGATCCTGGAAAAATAAAAAGGGGTGGATAAAAGAGGGAAAAAAGAATTGAAATGAGTTATGTACATATACTAATCTCCTTCCTATGGTGAATGCAATAATTATGTACTGCAAATATGTAAATATATGAGTAAAAAAATTTCCCCATCTCTATGTTATGTACAGTGCCTTGCTTAATTTAAACATAATTAGGAAACACAAATATTTTCATTTACCAGTGGCCAGTCTTATACTCCAAATACCTAATTGTCTATACAGCACTGGTACTGATCAATAGGACAGAATTTGTTTGGTGTGGCCATACTAGTCTGTACAAGATGAATACCAATCTCGCCAATGGCCCACATGTTTAAGGTTAAGAAGGCAGCTGCATGGATTGTTGGGTAATCATTCAGGGGTAAAAGGCTGATAAGACAATGTTTGGTAATTCTGTTTAATACCCTTGAAATGTCTACCAGTAACAGGATTCATCAATGTCCTCATTAAGCAAATGTTTCTTACCTATTGCCCAATTTTAGATGACCTCTGGATTTCACAGATATATAAGAGTGTGCTATATACCAGACTCTGTTGAGTTATCAAGTCATAAAAGATGCAGAACTTTACTTCAAAGATTTTATGGCATAATGATTCATTCCAGCTAACACATGTCAAAGAAAATTAAACACGAAAAAACATCTTTTATGATACCCTGAAAAGAAGATGGGGAAATTACCTTACTGGTCCCAGAAATGATATAGGCTAAACGTTGAAATTCCTAATCTTTCTGGGAAAGGGTCAATATATATCCTCATTGCTCCCACACCCGCCATTACTCACTCTAGAAATACCCTTGTTATTAGAAACAACCCTAATACTATATGCATTAAGATGGAAACAAACTTCTTACATAAGTACC